GTATAATGAATGAATGACCTTGACAGGTCCTGGTAACCTAGGAGACAAAGATGCTCTCAGTTTGCTATCCAGCTGGTGTACAGTCAAAACTGAGGTGTGTGGTTTCCATGGCAACAGAAGAAGGTCCAACAGGCCAGCAGCAGGAGGCCGACTCAGGAATTGTGAGCTCTGCATCTTTTCAAGGTGTGGCCTAGAAATTGATAATGTGGTCATAGTCTCTTTAGACAGATGGTGAGAGGAAAGGAACATCTAAAATGGGGTTACTTAAGCACAGTGCCAGAGGCTCATGGCTGTAATCCTATTTACTCAGGAGGTTGAGATCTTAGGATCTCAGGTCAAAGCCCAAACAGGCAGGAAAGTATGAGATTTTTTTTTTTTTTTTGTCGGCCATGGGGCTTGAACTCTGGGCCTGGGCGCTGTCCCTCAGCTCTTCAGCTCAAGGCAAGCGCTCTACCACTTGAGCTACAGCACCACTTCCAGTTTTCTGGTGGTTTATTGGAGATAGGAGTCTCACGGTCTCTCCTGCTCGGGTTGGCTTTGAACCGTGATCCTCAGATCTCAGCCTCCTGAGTAGCTAGGATTACAGGCGTGAGCCACCAGCGCCTGGCAGTCTATGAGATTTTTAACTCCAAATAACCAGCAAAAAGCCAGAAGTGGATCTGTAGTTCAAATGGTAGAGTGCCAGCCTTGAGTGAAAAATCTATATGACTGTACCCAGTACTTAGTGCCCTGAGTTTAAACTCCAGTACCAGCATACATAAAAAAAGCACAAAAATAAAAACAAAGAAAAAGAAACACATGATTAGGAAAAAGCCAAATTGGCCATTGTTGTCAGGAGATGAGGGGAGAAGGAAATGAGGAGCGACTTCACAAAGAATATAGAGCTTATTTTGGGGAATGATAAAAAATGTTTTGTATCTTGACAGAGTTGATTGTTTAACATTGTGAATGAACCAAGAGGCTGTAGATACTCTACAATGGTTAATTTTAAAGAGAGAGAAACGAGATAATTTGTGGCCAAGTTGGCTATAGTAGAGCATTTCAAGTAGTTCTGAGTTAAATCTCTAGTACCACCAAAAAAAAAAAAGGTGACAAAGACATGCATGCGTGTGTGCACATGTGTTCGTGTGCATGTGTACACACACACACACACATACATGTCTTCGAAGTCTTAAGTTTCAGAATGGGATTCCTGGGAGCACAAGGAATATATAAGATGCAAAGTTATAAATGAAGCTGACACACCACTGTAGCTTAATGGGTGACTCTAATGTCATCCATTAATGTGACATGCAGGAGAAAGCTGTGGGCTCTGGATCCTCCTCAGGCCACTTCCCAAAGGAAGTGCATTATTTGCCATTTGCAACTGGGCTGATGTATACCCCAGAGCATATTGGGAGAAGATCTTAGGAACACTCAAAACTCTATCTTCACGGGGTTCACTGAACCACAGCTAATTGTGAGATCTTTCCTTCCTTCTTTCTGTTTGGCTAGTACTCGAGTTGGGCATTTGAGTTTGCACACATGGTGCTTTGTCACTTAAGTCATACCTCCAGTGTAGCCTTTTGGTGGGTCTCCAAAGTAATTTTGGAGAATCAGTCTCTCAGAAGTTTTTTTTTTTTTTGCCCAGGCTGGCTTTGAACCTCAATCCTATCAATCTCAGCCAACTGAGTGGCTAGGACTACAGGAATGAGCCCCCACAGTGCCTTGTTTTATTCTTTCTTTCTCCTTCTCCCCTCTTCTCTCCTTCTTTCTTTCTTTCCTTCCTTCCTTCCTTTGTCAGTTGTGGGCCTGGGCACTGTCCCTGAGCCTCTTTATGCTCAAAGCTAGCATTCTACCACTTTGAGTTATAGCACCACTTCCAGTGTTTGAGTGGTTAATTGGAGATAAGAGTCTGACAGGGATTTTTCCACCCAGGCTAGCCTCGAACCATGATCCTCAGAACTTAGCCTCCTGAGTGGCTAGGATACAGGTGTGAACCACGGGTGCCCATCCAGTACCTTGTTTCTTTTTTTTTGGTCGGTTGTGGGGCTTGAACTCTGGGCCTGGGCACTGTCCCTGAGCTTTTCAGCTCAAGGCTAGCTAGCACTCTACCCCTTGAGCCACAGAGCCTCCAACTTTTTCTGTTTATGTGGTGCTGAGGAATTGAACCCAGGGCCTCATGCAATGCGAGGCAAGCACTCTCCCACTGAGCCACCTTTCCAGCCCAGTGCCTTGTTTTCTAACCACGGACTTGAAGAACAAGTCAATGTCTGGCTCACCAGTTATTGATGGGCTTCAGAAGTCACAGGTGAGGAAGGAGTGCAATTGGCCTAATGGGTTGGAATACAGGCTCTAGTACTATCTCTGTGGCCCTGAGCAAGTGTTTCATTTTACTGATTTCTCCATCAGGAAATAGAAATATCCTCATGTACTTTGGCAAGAAGGATGTGTGTGTACACTGGGGACATCCAGTAATCATACACATTCCTTCTTTCTTTGTGGCTGCTTCAAAGCAGCACAGAATTAGCAACACTCTTGAACACAAAAGTTAACAGTTCCCTGCTGGGCACCAATGGCTCACGTCTGTAATCCTAGCTATTTAAAAGGCTGAGGGCTGGAGGATAGCAGTTAGAAGCCAATCTGGGTAGAAAAACCATAGAGACTCCACCTCCCAAATGATCAGCAAAAAACTCAGTTGGAGACCTGGCTCAAATGGTAGAGCTCTAGCTCAGAAAGGGATCAAGCAAAGAAAGCCCAGTTAAGCGCAAAGTACTGTGTTCAAACCTCAGTATCACCAAAAACCAGAAAAATAAAACCCACACTCGTGTGCCTCCTGGTTCAGGGAAGTTTCTTCAAGTTTCAATCATTCTCTCTAGTTAGGGACATATTATGCATGCATTAGGAAGGGTGGAGGCGTTCTAAAAGAGCTCAGAATGAGGCCCTGCGCTGACATCTTTGAATCCTCACCCTTTCATGAGACAGGTGCTGCTGCCTTGGGTTAGGAGACGCCTCACTTTTCAGTGAAGTCAAGGAACTCGCTGGCATCAGGATACACACCAGAGGGACCCAAGTCAATAGTTTGAACCCGGGTCCTCCCGAGCCACGCCCGGAAGCCCCTGGGAGCGCGTGGCTGGGCAGGGCGCGCGCCGCGGTGGGAATCCCGGGCGGGGTTGGAAGCTGGGCCCGTTCATTTGCATGCTAATACCCAGAATGCTTTCCCCCCCTCCTCCCACACCGCTTCCCTTAATGGAAGCGCTCAGTTTGGAACCGTGGAAAGTTTGGAACACATACTTCACTCCCTTTTTGCAACTGTAGGGACTTCCCGCTCGCACGCGCCTGCAGCCCGGGGCTGCGATCCGTGCGACTCCGCGGCGGCTGCCGGCACTTTCCGGTCCGGAGAACCTCGGTGACTACACCTCGTGCGGTAGCATCACCAAGGCGGGCCAGGGACAAAAGCGCCCAAGCCTGGTGGCGGGGCCCGCGGTCAGAGCGCCTGGCTGCTGGAGCTGGGCATGCTTCGGACAAGGAGAGATCCGAGGGCCCTCTTCGATCCCTTGGGCACATCTACTTCCCCGGAGATTGCCGGGACCCGTGCGTGTGTGTGTGTTGGGGGTCCCTGCTTCTGTTCATCATTCTCATGTGGTCGTCTCCTTATGCTGGCAACTTCCCGCTCCCCAGGGCACAAAGCTCCACGAACGGGGGTTGGGGGGGGGGGGGAGACCGCCTGATGGTCTCATCTCCCCCGCTCTCCCGCGCGTCCAGCCCCTTCACATCGGTCACTGGGAGACGCAGAAACGGCTCCAGGGGTTCCGCCTGCACCCCCACCCCCCACCCCAGGGTTGGAACCTGGGAGCGATCGCAGGCGACTTCTGCGGATTTCACGCATCAAAGTGGGGCCACGAAGGGTGCCGATGCCCGCCCGACCTGCGGGTGCGCAGCAGCGGCTGGGGGGGACTCGGATCTGCACCCTACGGCCTCTCCCCCTCCCAACGCCTGGCCAACACGGTCCGCTGGTAAGGGAGGGCAGTGGTAGCTGGTTTGCTGGCTTGGCCCTACGTTCGCTTCGGTCGGGGCGGGGGGGGGGGCCTGAAACTGCAGCCCCCGGCCCCGCGGGCGGGGTGGGGAGGCGGGGACCGGACGGGGGCTCAGGCTGCGCTAGCATTGGCGGAGCTGGGGGATGGGGGGGGCAGGAAGCGGGAGGGGGGAGCGGAGCTGCGGGGGGGGGGTGTATAAATAGGGAAGGGGGGACGTGCATCCTCGGTTGGGTGAGGGGGGGGCGCTCGGCACAAAGAAAGTGGAAAGTTTGCCGCGTGGGGCCAGCCCGGCTTGGGGATCCGGGTGCGCACGTGCGGGGCCGGGGGCATCGGACCACCCCCCCGCGCCGAGCTCGCCTTTTTTTTTTTTTTTCCTACAAGCCAGAAGGGGGGGTGTTGTTGGTATCGCCCCCCTCCTTCTCCTCCCCCCCAGGGGTGAAAGTGCAAGAGGAAGTGCAGCCGCTGCCATCTTTCCTCCGCTCCGAACACACGGAGCCTGGGGCCGCAGCGCCGCCGCTCCGCCACCGCCTGCGCCTGGCCCCGGGAAGGGCCCATCTTTGCTGCCGCCGCCGCCCGCCAGCTTCAGCTGCCGCCGCCACGAGACTCCGAGCCCGAGCCCGCGCCACCGCCCCCGTGCGCGCCCCGCCGCCGCCGCCTTCGCCTTTTGTTTCCTCCGCTCCGGCGCCCCCGCCCCGGCTCGCGCTTTGCAGGGGACGCAGCGCGCGCCCCCAGCGGGCCCGGGAAAAGCCTCGGAGCGCGCGCGCCTGCGCGGCCGGCCGATCCTCCTCCACCTCCTCCTCCTCCTCCTCCCGCTCCTCCTCCTCCCCGCGTGCGCGCGCCCCTCTTGGCCGGGCGCCGGCGCCGCCTAGCGGGCGGGAGGGGAGGTGGCGGGCGCTTTTGCAGGAGGGGCGCACCTCTTCGCTCGCGCACCCCCCCCGCCCCAAGGTAGACAGAGAAGGGGAGGAGGACGCGCGGAGGAGGGGAGTGCGCGATCGGGTGGGGGTGGTGGCGGCTATGTGGGGGGTGGTGCGCTCTGCCGTCTAGACAGTCGGATCTGGACGGGGAGGGGGGGGGGGGCGTGTGCGCTGGGCGCACCTGCGAGACTACCGAGCCCCCCGGCCGGCACGTGTGGGGAGTGGACGCGTCCGCTGCGCCCCGCTTCGCAGTACTTAGGGGAAGGGAGGGGGGCGGGTGGGTGCTGCGGCCCAGATAGTGGGAGGGGGCGGCGGCCATGGAGCGGGTAAACGACGCTTCCTGCGGCCCGTCGGGTTGCTACACCTACCAGGTGAGCAGGCACAGTACCGAGATGCTGCACAACCTGAACCAGCAGCGCAAAAACGGCGGCCGCTTCTGCGACGTGCTCCTGCGGGTGGGCGACGAGAGCTTCCCGGCGCACCGCGCCGTGCTGGCAGCCTGCAGCGAGTACTTTGAGTCGGTGTTCAGCGCCCAGTTGGGCGACGGAGGTGCTGCGGACGGGGGTCCTGCAGACGTGGGGGGCGCGGCGGCAGCTCCGGGCGGCGGGGCTGGGGGCAGCCGGGAGCTAGAAATGCACACCATCAGCTCCAAGGTGTTCGGGGACATCCTGGACTTCGCCTACACTTCCCGCATCGTGGTACGCCTGGAGAGCTTCCCCGAGCTCATGACGGCCGCCAAGTTCCTGCTGATGAGGTCGGTCATCGAAATCTGCCAGGAAGTCATCAAACAGTCCAACGTGCAGATCCTGGTGCCCCCTGCCCGGGCCGACATCATGCTCTTTCGGCCTCCTGGGACCTCAGACTTGGGCTTTCCTTTGGACATGACTAACGGGGCAGCCTTGGCAGCCAATAGTAATGGCATCGCAGGCAGCATGCAGCCGGAGGAGGAGGCTGCCCGGGCAGCAGGTGCAGCCATTGCCAGCCAAGCTTCTTTGCCTGTGTTACCTGGGGTGGACCGCTTGCCCATGGTGGCTGGACCCCTGTCCCCCCAACTGCTGACTTCCCCATTCCCCAATGTGGCATCCAGTGCCCCTCCACTGACTAGCAAGCGAGGCCGGGGCCGCCCAAGGAAGGCCAACCTACTGGACTCGATGTTCGGGTCCCCAGGGGGCCTGAGAGAGGCAGGCATCCTTCCATGTGGCCTATGTGGGAAGGTGTTCACCGACGCCAACCGGCTCCGGCAGCACGAGGCCCAGCACGGTGTCACCAGCCTCCAGCTGGGCTACATCGATCTTCCTCCTCCAAGGCTGGGTGAGAATGGGCTCCCCATCTCTGAGGACCCTGATGGCCCCCGAAAGAGGAGCCGGACCAGGAAGCAGGTGGCTTGTGAGATCTGTGGCAAGATCTTCCGCGATGTGTACCATCTCAACCGACACAAGCTGTCTCATTCTGGGGAGAAGCCCTACTCCTGTCCCGTGTGTGGGCTGCGGTTTAAGAGGAAAGACCGCATGTCCTACCATGTGCGGTCCCATGATGGGTCCGTGGGCAAGCCCTACATCTGCCAGAGCTGTGGGAAAGGCTTCTCCAGGTGAGAAAGGCATCCTCCTCACTCCCATCACGACCTGTTTTCAGTCCTCTTCCCCCACGAGACAGCTTTTTGCCAAGATCCGAGGATGTGGAAATTGGGGTGGGGGAGGCACTAACCCTTTACAGGACCATGCTAGGTTGGAGGAGAGTGTTCTTAATTTTGAGATGAGGTGCCAAGAGCTGCTGCTTCTCTTCAGGCAAGTTCTCTGGCACTAGGTATACCGTACTGTTGTCTCCTTGCCTCTGAGAAGAGGCTGGATTCCTCAGGCCAAAGCCACTGGGCCTTACTATTCTTCTCCCTGGGCTCCCTTTGTGCTTCCAGCACCGGGCCTGAGGCCCCCTCTGGGGGCAGGAGGCCAGGCTCCTCCCAAGACTTTCGGTGCTTGAATGGCTGCTGGGGGAAAGGCTGGAACCAGTGCAGCTGGGACTCCCCGGGCATCAGATCCTTCAGCCCAGAGCCTTGGCAATCCTGCAGTAGTGAATCCCGCTTGGCCTCTCACATGACCCCCCCGGGGATTGAGACAGATAAAGCTGGGCACTCTGACTCGGTAGCTCAGAACCGAAGGGAATCCACAGATTCTCCAGATGTTGGAAGGAGGATAGGACTTCCTTTAGACTTACTTCCTAGAGAGCCTGGTGGGCAACTGAGGGCTTGTCTGCGAGCAGAGGATGGTTTGGGTTTTTCTCTTAGAAAATATTTAGACGAAAAGGCTGGTTTTAACTTGAATTCTAAGAATCTCCCGTGTGTGAACCTAGGGGTAGAGAACTCCCTCAGAGGGGCCCCAACCAGGAACCAGTCTTACCGGTCTGGCAGCCCTTGCCCACCTGCTCAGGCGGGCATCTGGCTTACCAACCCAGCTGGAGACTTAAGGCTCCATTGCTAGCCTCTGGGGACTGAATTCCATCTGGGTGGCATTCATTGGCTGCCACTGCGGGAGAAGCTGGGGGGAGGGGAACACTGAGTTTCTAAGGGGCTTTAGTCTGGACAATGAATCCTCCCCCACCCCCCCTTTCCTGGAAAGGCCGCCTGGAGGCAACCCAGTCTCATTTTAAAGGGGCTCTGGTTCTAGAAGTCATTGAGTTGCTGCTGGGGGTGGGGGTGGGTAGGCGAGATCTGAGGCGAGCATTTGCTTCCCCTCCCCCCCTGAGAAAATGGGCCTGGAGAGCCCTAGCTGGGTGGTGACTTTGTCTTTGTCATGCTGGGGGTGGGGAGAGGGAGTCCTCTTCAGCTCTGTGTGTACGTGTGAGTCTGGGGGGCTGGGCAAGTTGGTGCCCTTCTTTCAGTGTCTTCTTTTAAAGTCCTTCTTGGTTTTCTTTTCCAGGCCTGATCACTTGAATGGACATATCAAGCAGGTGCACACTTCTGAGCGGCCTCACAAGTGTCAGGTAGGGGCCAAGGCAGGGAAAAGATGGGCAGAAAGAGATTGTTGCTGGTCTCACAGCCACGAGTGCACTGCCCAGTGTGCTTGGGCGGTCTGACTGACTGACCCCTGCTTTGCACACCTCCCACTCTGTCTCCGTCCTCCTCCCTCTGCCCTCCTTTGTTCCTCACTCCAGCCCCTTCCCTTCCCCCATGGCTGATGATGTTCCCTCCTTCCTGGTTGCTTGGTCCTGGTCCCCGCCCTGTCTTGTCTTCACTCTGTTGCTTGGCTTTCCTTTCCTGGTGTTTGCCAGTTCCTTGGAAGGTGGGTCACGTTGCTTAAGTGTTGTCCTGGAGGGATGGCACCTTGCTAGGCCTGGCTGCCGGTTCCCAGCAGTTTTGTAGGAACTGTAGGAATTTAAGAGGGCTCTGACCTGAGACGGAGTTCCTTCTGAGTTTCCTTGCCCTTGGGCACAAAGTTGGGGTGGAGGAAGTAGAGGGGAATGGGTGCCTTTGAGCATAGCACCTATTTAGCCCATCCTGAGATATGTGTACCAACTGCCAGGATTTCGGAAGTACTGAAGAGCAAGATACAGTAGCAGGCAGGGAAGGCTGGAGCAGATTCTCCCTCATGTCTGCTTGAACAATATCTAGAGTTTTCTGATCCTAGTCACTGAGCTTTCCTGTGTGGATGGAAAATGTGCCTCTGTCTTCTCCTCGATCTCTCCCTCTTCTGAGCCAAGAGCCTGTCCAGTAAGGGTGAGGCAGGGTTATGGGGCAGTCTTCACAGCTCCTTCACTTGTTGGTGGCAAGAGGCAGGGCTTCAGGAAGGGCTGACAGTATGCACAGCCCAGGCAGCCTCCCCTGAGGAGGGTGACCCAGGGTGGGCCTGCTAGTGTCTGTCTTTGCTTTGCTGCCTTTTCTCCCTCTCTGTTTTCTGGTCTTTTCATCACAGAGCACATTCTGACTTCCAAGTAGTGTGTTGAGCAGAATAGGAGGACCTCAGAGGGCAGTTGGGGGTGTGCCCGGTGGCCTGGGGGGGTAACCTGCACTCTCTGCCCTTTTTCCAGGTGTGGGTTGGGAGCAGCAGCGGCCTGCCGCCCCTGGAACCTCTTCCTAGCGACCTGCCATCATGGGACTTTGCCCAGCCTGCTTTGTGGAGGTCCCATTCGGTTCCTGACACCGCCTTTTCCCTTTCTCTAAAAAAGTCATTCCCAGCCCTTGAAAACCTGAGCCCAGCACACTCCAGCAACACTCTCTTCTGCCCAGCCCCACCAGGATATCTGAGGCAGGGTTGGACCACCCCCGAGGGCAGCCGGGCCTTTAGCCAGTGGCCTGTAGGCTAGCCTGAGCCTCCCTGGAGAGGGGAATGGGAATCCCTTGATGGCCCAAATAATACTTCTGCTTTTGAGGAGGGGCCAGCAAGGTGGTCCCTGCCCACTTAGTCCTCCCCTGTGACTTGGAAGTTGTGTTGTGGCCCTGTCCCAGCCTCCAGGTTTCTGGACTCTCTTGCTTCCTTTTTAAACAGGTGGTCCTCAGGCATCTGGCCTTGCCTGGGTAATTCTGGAGGTTGGTGCTTTCCCAGAAGTCAAGCCCCAACATAGCTGCTTCCCTTCCTCGGCATCGCTTGCCATGAGTGGCATTTTTAGAAAGGAGCCTGGTTCTCCTGCTGTCACTCTGGGTGGGGATCTACCCTCAGAGAAGCCTCTGGGCACAGTTTTAACTAGAGTCAGCCTGATTGTCCTCTTCCCTTCTCAGACAGGACTGCTGTCATTTCTGGCTAGTGAATGAGAATGTCATGTTTTTAGAGGGTTTTGTTTTTTTGTTTAGTAACTAAACTAATGTGTAGCTTTACATTGGGCCACCCTAGTATATGGGTTTAGGGATGATAAAGCAGATGTAGACCCCCAACAACCCCCAGATCCCACTGGTGTGTTCTTTAACCCCCCCCCTCCCACCTACTCCCCGCAGACTCCGCGGGGAGAACAGGACTGATAAAAGTTTTCATTCTAACATTTGAGGCTTTGTGTGTTTTGTCCTTGGTCTGTGTCATAACACCGACATCACTGTCCCTTGCTGTGTGAGCCTGCTCCTGCCCTCCCCTCCCCTCCAGCGCACACTCATAGACCTCCTGGCCTGCCACCTCTGGCCCTGTAACAAGAGTCCCCTAACAACGACCCAGCAGGTGAAGACTCTCATGTTGACTCTCATGTACAGAGGGGCCAGCCAGGTGTGCCTGGGCTTGGTTAAACAGCAGGACATCTGTTTGGTATTGTGTAGTGTTCCGAGAACATCAACAGTGAAGAGATGGCTTTCTGGGAGTTAGTCCCTTAGGTTGCTGGCAGGCTGGGCACAGACCCTACCTCTTGGTCCCTCCTGATGCCACAAAGGATGAAAGGGGCCAGTCACAGAGATTGGCGCCCTGGCTTGAGTAGAAAGGTCATCTGAAGGCAGAGGCAGGAAGCCTCAGACTTGGCATGGAAACACAAGCCTTTTTGAGGCTTGGCCTGAATCTTCTAACTGGCCCATGCAGCCCAGGCACTGTTGTGTTCATGAGCTGGATGGGGATGGGGTGGGGGTTGGGGTATGGTAGGGGTTGGGGGGGGTGGTAGTGGTGGGGGGAGTAGGGAGACATTTCCCCCAGGAAATGGAGTACCTCAGATCTCTCTGATTGCTTCCAGTGGCCCTACATCTCAGGCTGGTACATTCAAGGAGGGGCCTAACAAGACCTATAGAGCTGGACTTTCATGTGTTGTTCTTAGACTTTTGCTGGGCTGCCAGACTCCCTAGGCCACCAGGGGTAGATGTATGTGCTAGCATCCTTTGGTGCCATTTGGGCCTTGGCACACAGGATGCACAATTTTAAGAAGTGTAGGAGGTGAGCATGATGGACTCATTGAGTGTTGATGATCCAGTTCAGGAGACCTGGGCCAGGCCCTGCAGGAATGTCTCCTAATACTGTAGGCTATGTAAGCCCTGGCTAGGAACAAGACTGGCATCCTAAGCACCAAAGGCTTTGTGGTGCTGGCTCTCTATCTTCCTACTGTCTGCAGGACTGGAAACACTTTTCTCCGAAGTCGTCTCAGAATAGAGGTTCTGGGTATGCCCTTTGAGCTCTGACTTTCTCCCTCCGCCTCTTCTCTCCTGGGTCCTGTGACCAGGCTCCTTCATTTTCTGTGTTCTCTGAATTTCTGCAGGCCTAGACTTGGACAAATTCCTCAGAAAACCTTGGGGATTGCAGGTACAGAGGGTTAACCCTCGTACAAACAAGCCAGTGATTCCTTCAGCTTGGTTTTATAACACAGTGAAAGTTTTTGTTGTGTCTTTTTCTCTCCAGTAGCAAATTTACATTCCTGATTATGTTTGCTCAGGCTAAAGTTAGCTTTTATTCCATGAGAGATAATCAATGGAGGACAGGCTGGGGGAAGCCAGCCTGGCCTAGGATTTTTAATTTTGCTTAGCTAATCCCCAAATGGATAATCCACTTGTGGATAATTGAGGGTTGGCTGTCCATCATCTTTAGGTAGCAAAGCATGACAGACAAAGCCTGTAGAGGACAGAGCCCAAAAAAAGGCTGGCGAGAGAGACAAGGCATCCCTTTCATAGTTCTCTGGTGGCTCCCTCTCCCAGGGACTGTGGAAGACAGAATCCTGAATGTGTGCTTTCAGCTCCATTTTCCTACACCCAGTTCATATTGATTCCTTCCAGTCCTGAGGCTTAAAACACACTCTTCTCACTGCTGGAGGGGTGGTTCTTGGGTCACTGGCAAAGCCAGCTTTTGCCTATGGATAAAATAGGTGCACCTTCCAGGGGTACTAATGATAGCTCTTAATGTAGTTTATAGGCTGGTGGATTTGGGGGCTGCAAAGTCCCCCTGACTGCGGTGGGGCCTACCTGTGACCCAAGGACTGAGTATCCAGAATGCTTTCTCTTTTTTTTTTTTTGGTGGGCTGTGGGGCTTGAACTCTGGGCTTGAGCGCTGTCCCTCAGCTCTTCAGCTCAAGATGAGCGCTCTACTGCTTGAGCCACAACGCCACTTCTGATTTTCTAGTGGTTTATTGGGGATAAGAGTCTCACGGACTTTCTTGCCCGGGCTGGCTTTGAACCACGATCCTCAGACTTCAGCCTCCTGAGAGCTAGGATTACAGGCATGAGCCACCGGCGCCTGGCTTCCAGGATGTTTTCTGAGTCTCCTAGGTGTTGGGGTTCATCTTTCTCTGTCAGCAGAGCCCAGATCCCAAGAACACAAGGGTCACTGTCACCTTTTTCTCCTTAGACACTGACTCGGCTGAATCTAAAGATGGTAAAGGCATACCCTCCGGGCTGGTTCACATCTTAACTGTCCTGATCCTAACAGGGTCTTAGTTTGCCCCGCTGTAAACGGGGAGAGACAAGAAGATCTCTTAAGTAGTTAGGAGGATTGTTCAGGCCCTAGTCTGGCCATGGCAAGTATGTTTAGACTGTTGCTTTCTCTAGGAGGCAAGTTGACTTTGTTGTTATTGTTTGTGTTAGTAGTAGTGCTTGACCTCGGGGCCTTGTGCTTTTACTCAGTTTTCTTACTCAGAGCTGGCACTCTACCACTAGCACTACAGTCCAATCTAGCATTTTGCTGGGTAATTGGAGATGGAGTCTTACAGATTGTCTGAATTGGCTTTGAATTGTGATCTTCCAGGTCTCTGCTTCCTGAATAGGTAGGATTAAAAGTATGATCCAGTAGCCCAATTCTGGGCAAGTTGACTTTCTAGTTAAGATTCCTAATTTTTTGTTTGTTTTGCCGGTCCTGGAGCTGGAACTCTGGGCCTGGGTGCTGTCCCTGAGCTTTTGTGCTCAAAGCTGATACTTTATTACTTGAGTTACAGCTCCATTTCTGGCTATTTTTGTAGTTTAGTGGAGAGAAGAATCTCATGGGCTTTCCTGCCCAGGCTGGCTTTGAACTGTGATTCTCAGATCTCAGCCTGCTGAGTAGCAAGGATTATCAGCATGAGCCACCAGCGCCTGGCAAAGCTTTCTAATAGTTAAACAAGTAACCTGAACATAGATAAGCAGAATAAAACAGATAAAAGCAGTATTTGTCTCCTATAAATTGTTCTGCTTAAGTTTGTAACATTTTACTTAAAAAAAAAACAATGACTGGGAACAGCCAGGCCTGTATTGCTGCAGATGTCCGGGAATGGAGTAGTCGACAGTGGCGTCCTCCACCTCTAGTGTTGAATGAGTTTGCTTCTTGCTTTAGTTGGACAGGTGAGGAGACAAGTAATGGTTTTCATGTGCTGTGCTGTCTCGTTCAGACACTTACCTTGTGATCTCAGCTTCTCAGAATCCCCATCTTCTAATCAGGCAATAGAGGCAACTCTGGGACAGAAAGTACATGGGCTGTAAGCTCTTCAGTGCGTTAATATTGCATTTGTAATGCCCTTGAAGGTGGATGCTATTTCTCAGAGTCCTAAACAGTAAGCACACACAGACAAAAGAAGTGACTTGGACACTATACCCATGGAACTAAAACGGCTCAAAAACCTCTTCCTGGTGCTTTCAAATATGTGGTGTCTCTCAGGGCTGGGTAGCTTTGTACACCCTAGAAGAGGAAGGGATGTTGGGGAGAGATAAGGCCCATTACTAAACAGGTCCCTTAAGCCCTGGGAAATGCCTGGCAACTTGGCTTTGTTCCTAGGGTGCAGAAGCTGACATTAAGTGCCTCAGTTGTCTACTCTGGGGCTTGGCTGGGAGTCAGTGCTCAGGACAAGGTGTAGTCATGGTTTGTACCCCTGCCACACAGGGGTGCCACACAGCCTGCCCTGGAGGGCTGGGTGAGATGGACAGCTCTCAGGTTAAGCTGAGGGCCTGCTTAGTCAGTGTGGGCTGGTGTCACTGTCCTCATTTCCAGCACTTAATGCTCTCAGAGCCTCTGGCCTTCATTCCCTGCTAATTCTCACATTAGCACAATCAAAGCTATCATTTTACGCACTGCTGTTTCAATTCAGACTCAGGAAAATATTCACAGTTATCTCTGCACTTTCTCTTGCCTATTTCATTTCCCTGTAGCCAAGACTAATGTTGCTGTTAAATGAAATGAATACATTGAATTCTTTGTAGGAAGCAATCAGGACAGACCCCTGAATGGAGGGCAGGAAGAGTAGTTTATATTCCCAAAACATCCGTGATTCACTTAATAGCACTTAAAGTTGATGTTTCATGCTTCAGAATGAACAAATACCTAACTCCTCACTCTGTGGTAGAACACAGAACTTAGCTTTACCCTGGTCTAGATGCAACACTTCCAATTCAGTGGTACCATGAGAAGACATCCTGGGAAATAAGGAGCAGCCATTTGGCATTGTGAATAGAGAGCCTCAACCCAACTCTTAACACTGTCTTCCTAATAGGAGTTCACTAGATGACCGGAAACTATTTTTTGCCTTGTGGTACACTAGATCAGATAGGGAATACCTGGTTTTGTCTCATTCTGTTTTTTTTTTTCTTCTGCATTCAGACCTGCAATGCTTCTTTCGCCACTCGAGACCGCCTGCGCTCCCACCTGGCTTGTCATGAAGACAAGGTTCCCTGTCAGGTGTGTGGAAAGTACCTGCGGGCAGCATACATGGCCGACCACCTGAAGAAGCATAGCGAGGGGCCCAGCAACTTCTGCAGTATCTGTAACCGAGGTAATCTCCTCACTGCTTTGTCACCTCCAGAGGTTGGGCCTGGACTTGTGTGGGAGGTTCAGAGGTGTCTTCACCGCCTGCACCGCCCCCCCCCCCCCCCCCAGCCCGTGCGCCTCAAGACTGCACTCTGCATCATCATCCTGTCTTCCCACTGACTGATTAAAAAACCCTTTGATCACCCAGTTAGGTGTTTGGAATGGGAGATCCTAGGAGACCAGCGACAGGAAGAAGAGAGGTGATTCTCCAACTTGCCACTCAGGTGGCAGGATGGATGCATTTTGCAGACACTACTGAAAGGTTGAGGCTGATGAGGAAGTTACTGGGCCCCGAAGTAGAATGTAAAGAGGTCCCGCTTCGAAGCTTTTGCTTGATGAGTTCACTGACAGATGATGTTGAGCAGCTACGGAAAAGAGATGGAGTTTGGTGAGGAAGCAAAGGCAGAAAGTTTCTGGCATGAATGGTTAGAAAAAAACCTAAACCTTGATGGGAGAGGAGAGTGGAAGGTGCTCTGAGCAGGGCGGAGTGCTTGAGTTTGAGGCTGGTAGCTGTGTTGTGTTGGATGAAGTCAGTCTGAGGTTCTGCTGGGTCTAGTTGGCTGTTGGAAGTGCTCAGAGTTTATGTCCATGGAGGAGGCTTGCTCTCTGATTGGGCTGAAGGAGGTCAAGGCAACTGTCTGAGTGTAAAGAGGCTTCTGCATGGTGAGCTTGCTTTGGCCAGGTGGGGGCGTTGCTGGATATGCTGCTTTGCAGAGCATGCTTGCCCCAATGTTTTTTGTAAGGTTGGGATATGGCTTAGTAGGTGGAGTAATGAACTGAGAATCAATGGACCCGGGGTTTAGTCCCAGCACCTCGCTATGAAGCCTTGACTCTTTAAGTCTGAGGTTCTTCTTTCAAAGGGGGTTAAAACCCTCACCTTTTCCATCTCATAGGGTTGTTGTAAGGAGCCCAAGAGACAAGGTAGGTAAAAGTTCTCTGAATCCAGAATTTGGTGCGCATTTAGGGAGGTCTCATTCTTATATTTTGTTAACAGTGCTGGTACTCTGGATTGGACCAGGCACACAAGGCCTTGTCTGGATTTCTTGGGTGTCTTTGGGCTATTTCCACGTGCCCAGAGGGTCCTGATGAGTAGCTTGGTTCTTTGGTTTTCTGGAACTGCACACCTGAGGTTTATCTTGAATGCCACTGGCTATCGATGTTTGTTCTACCAGACAACTCCCTTTGAAAGGGGAAGGTGTAGTCCTGAAAGCTGCTTAAGCGGTTTGTCCTGTTTTCTGACAGCTTCCCCTGGGGAGCAAGCAGTGGGGTTGTTGTGCATGCAGGGACTTAATCAGGACAGCCCAAGCTCTGTAACAAACCTGGTTTCTTACCTTGCTGCATTTTTACCTGGCTTCCTGACAGCACCCCCAAAATAACTGTAACATGGCCATCAACATTACTTTCATCAAGTTTTCAATGTTGAAGTTAGCAGTCCCAGAACTGACTTAGAGACCAGAAGTTGAGAACCAGCAACAGAGGAAAAGTGTAGGTGCTAATCCTAACGAGAAAGCTAACAAAGAGTGGATAGGAGATACACAGTTTATAATCACCTAGCTCCAGAAGAAAGAAGAGCAGCAGGAAACAGCAGGAAGACAGTAAGGATAGAGCTGATAACTGGGCCCTGGTGGCTCATGCCTGTAATCCGAGCTACTCAGGAGGCTGAGATCTGAAGATCGAGGTTCTAAGCCAGCCTGGGTAGGAGGAAAGTCCGGGAGACTCATCGCCAGAAAAAGCATGATTGATTAAGTCCCTGCATAATGACTCTTATCTACTCGGAAAAAGCTGGAAGTGATACAGTGGCTCACGTGGTAGAGTGCTAGCCTTGAGCAAAAAAAAAGCTCAAGGACAGCATCCAGGTCCCAAGTTTAAGCCCCAGGACCCAAAAATAAAAAATAAAAAAAAGATAGAGCCGATGTGGCAAATTTAACAAGTATTGTACATTAAGATTCTTTCTCCAAGCTGAGCACCAGTGACTCACACTTGTAATCCTAGCTACTCAGGAGGCTGAGATCTGAGGATCACGGTTCAAAGCCAGCCCGGGCAGGAAAGTCCATGAGACTCTCTTATCTCCAATAAACCACTAGAAAACCAGAAGTGGCACTGTGGCTCAAGCGGTAGAGCACTCGCCTTCAGCTAAAGAGCTGAGGGATAGCGCCCAAGCCCTGAGTTCAAGGCCAATGGCCGACATAAATAAATAAATAAATAAATACAAATAAAAGATTCTTTCCCCAAGAGCTGGTAAAGAGGACTTGGGCAAAGTGTCAGTAGCCACTCCTGTACTCCTAGCTACCTAGAAGGTTGAGACCTGATAATCATAGTTTGAAGCAGCCCAGGCAGATAAATCTTTTAAGACTCTTATCTCCAATTAACCAAAAAAGCCTGCAGGGGGCTGGGCAGGTAGCTCAATGGTAGAGTGCTTGCCTTGCATGCATGAGGCCCTGAGTTCGATTCCTCAGCACCATATAAGTGGAAAAAGCTGGAAGTGGTGCTGTGGCTCAAGTGGTAGAGTGCTAGACTTGAGCTGAAGTGCTGAGGGACAGCGCCCAGGCCTAGAGTTTAGGCCCCATAACTCAAAAAAAAAAAAGCCAGCGGTGAAGGTGAGGCTAAGTGGTAGAATGAAAAAGTCAAGTAAGAACATCTTGAAACCCAGACTTCAAGCCCCAGGACCAAGACAAAAAAAAAAATAATAATAATAACCCACTTGGCAACAAGTATAAGCTATGTGACTAGTGGGATAATGGAATCAAGAAGATACCTGTTCTTAGAAAAACAGCTAGAGGGCTGGAAGGTGGCTCAGTGGCAGAGTGCTTGCCTTGCATGCATGAGGCCCTGATTTCAATTCCTCAGCACCACATAAGCAGAAAAGGCCGGAAGTGGCTCTGTGGCTCAAGTGGTAGAGTGGTAGCCTTGAGCTCAAGAACTGAGGGACAGAGCCCAGGCCCAGAGTTCAGGCCCCATGACCGACAAAAAAAAAAAAAAAAGAAAGAAAAAAAACACAGGCGAGATCTGGATCACAGGCTGAACATCTCTGGGTCCTAGCCAGAGTCAAAGCAGGAGGCCTCCAAGAAGATAAAAGAAAGCTGTTGTGGTCCAACTTACATTGGTTACTGAGAAGGAAAAGGAAATAACTGTCTATCAGAAGTGAAGGAGCAGGATGCTATCTATGGGTTCATTCCTTAGGCAGAAATGGGAAGACACACATTCACAAATACTCACAAAAGGGCTGGGAAGGTGGCTCAGTGGTAGAGTGCTTACCTTGCATGCATGAGGCCCTGGGTTCGATTCCTCAGCACCACATAAGCAAAAAGAAAAAAGGTGGAAGTGGTGCTGTGGCTCAAGTGGTAGAGCGCTAGCCTTGAGCTGAAGAGCTGAGGGACAGCGCCCAGGCCCAGAGTTCAGGCCCACGACCGGACCCAAAAAAAAAAAAAAAAAATACAAAAAAGAGGGACTTGGAAGAGGACAGAAGGCTTCTTTTCTTTCTTTTTTCTTTCTTTCTTTTTCTTTTTCTTTTTTTTTGGTTGGTCATGGGGCTTAAACTCTGGGCCTGAGCTCTGTCTGTCAGATCTTCAGCTCAAGGTTAGTGCTCTACCACTTGAGCCACAGCGCCACTTCTGGTTTTCGGTGGTTTATTGGAGATAAGAGTCTCACAGCTTTTCCTGCCCAGGCTAGCTTTGAACCACAATCCTCAGATCTCAGCCTCCTGAGTAGTTAGGATTATAGGTGTGAGCCACCGGAGCCTGGCTAAGAAGGCTTTCTTTCTAGGAAGAGGATGAAGTTCTTTCTGGATATCAAAGACATTGAGGCATTGGAATTAGAATGTAGAGTTAATCAGGCACCAATTGCTCACACATGTAATCCTAGCTACTCCGGAAGCTGAGATCAGAGGATCAAGGCTAGTAGACAAATCCACAAGAATCTTCTGTTAACCAGCAAAAAGCCTGACTTTACAGGCGTAGCTCAAGTGGTAGAGTGCCAGCTACAAGCCAGAAAGCCTCAGGAAGCCCTGAGTTCAAGCCCCAGCACAGTACACCTAGTACACCTACACACCTACACACACACACACACACACACACACCGGTGAGACTATGAATGCAGGAATTTCTTGGTGAGGCTCCAAGGCAAAACTTCTTTACTATATGTCAGGGTCTTGCCCTGGAACTGCAAAAAATATGAATGAATGAATTTCTTATTTTTGCAACTCTGCAGTGGTTCAGACAGAGGCTAAATGTTAGGCATTTGGCCACACCAGCTTGTAAGACTGAATTGAGTAAACTAGTTGTCCTCTGAGAGCCTTCAATCCTAAAATCATTAAACTATCAGCTAGCTATTGACCTATATGTAGACTGGCCTTATTCAGTCTTTACCATGAAAAGAGACTCCTGGCTGTGAATAATGGGAAAGTAGGAAGGCAATTTATAGAGAAGATCATTTGTGGTAGAAGGAGTATTATGGGCTAGTGCCCATATCTTCAGGTTGAGAATTCAGCTGTAGGAGAGAAGGGCCTGGTCTAGTGCTTTTCTTCTTTTTAAAAATTTCTGTAGCAGAGTCTTTGTAACATAGGCATATGCACTTGACAGCTTGTCAAGAGTCTTGGACAAGCTGGGTACTACTGGCTCATGCCTGCTATCCTAGCGATTCGGGAGGCTGAGATCTGTGGATCACAGTTCAGAGCCAGCCCAGGCAGGAAAATCCATGAGACTCCTATCTCCAATTAACCACCAGAAAAACTGGAAGTGGTGCTGTGGCTCAAAATGATAGAGCACTAACCTTGAGCTAAAGAGCTCAAGGACAGTTCCCAGTCCCCAGAGTTTAAACCTCATAACTGACCCCAAAAAAAGTCTTGGACAGAAACACTTGGACTCAAACATCAAAGGTAGAGGAACCATCTTCCCATAGGGTGAGCAGATAAGTGGATGGATGTGGACAATTTATGATCCCTCTGTATTGATGTCATTCTACTGAGCAGTTGTGCCATTGTCCCTCCAGGGTTTGTACACAGGAAAAGCAGCTCCCACTCGGTTTACAGAGATGAAAGCAGCCTCAGGAGAATTTGCTTCTGGAATGCAAATTGCAAGGATAACTAACAGTGGAGAAAATGCAACTAAGGAATATTGGCCTTTTACTAATAAACTCTTCATCTCTGGAGAGAGAGGGTGGTGGCTTGTTGTTGTATTGGCAGTCACATGTATACTCAGTGTCTCCATCGGGTGAATGCCTGGATCGAGCTGCCTGTGTGGCTCTTTGTTAATCAGTGGTGAATGGGTGGGTGCGTTTAAAATTCCAACTAAATATGTCTGGCTTCAAAGATGTGTTCTGCTCTGAAACTCAGCTTCTGTTTCATTCCAGCACTTGGATGCTGAGTTGCTCTGTGTTTAAATTCTCAGCTTTAAGTGGCAGCTGCAGATTCATTCCTGCCACCCCGCCAGATAGTTTTGCTATAGATAGTACAGTCTGCAGCTGGGGTAAAGTTAAAAGGACCCAGCCACGTTGTTTCTCAAAATTGTTTTCCAGGAAAATGCAGGAAGTCTTTATTGAGCACCTGCTGTATTCCCTTGGTGCAGTTCTTGCTACACAGAGTAAATATAAACTCCGGGCATCCTGCTCTTTCTTTCCCATTCACTCTGTAGTAGACTTTCTCTGGCCTTAATGCCATGGGAGGGCTTCCTACTACTTCAGATGCCCTACAAGGGATTTACAACCAAAGAAAAATACTTTTCTAAAGTGGCATCATCATATTATCAGAAAGTTCTAACATCTGGTGCTAGTTGTCAGAGGCCATTGTCTCTGGGTTTGGCTGAGGAAGTCTCCATAGTGCCACCCAACAAGGGGCAGGGCTAAGAACCTCATTCCCATTCCCCTTACTGATTCATTTCCTGACTCTTCCATCTTGGGACTGTTTATGTGAGTCCAGCCAGTCTGTCCCCCCAGTGACTGGCTCCAGACCAACCGTGTAAGTCACAGCTCAAGACAACTCACTCTCCTAGGCAGGACAGGATAGCAGTACCTGGTCTAGGTGTGTGTTAGGAAATGAAGGGAAATTCTCCTGATCCCACATTTCTTTCCAGAACCACCAACTGTTGCTGTCAGGAATATTTGTTAAATCTGCTTCCCATGAGTCTGCCCTTTGTTTACCAGCAGCATCTATTCCAACCTATCAACATGACAAGCTTCTTATGAACTTTGCAGGTGCTCTTGCAAATGTTCAAAGGAACATTTTGCAAAGGAACTTTGCAAAAGTTCAAAGGATGTTAAGGGAAAAAAAGCCCAAAAGGTTTCCGGGCTCCCATTGGCTTGCTTGCCAGTGGTTACAGGCCAAGTATTGGTGGTCTTGGGGTTGGAGTGAGTACAAGTTCTGCCACTTAGCTGTAGACATTACTGAAGGCTCTTTTTCTTCACCAAGCCTCTATTTATTCAATGGTTATAATAATTTTCAGCACACTTGGTAAGAAATGTATGCATTGTCCTGCCGATGTAATTATAACCCCTCTGTACAGTATGTTCTCAAATAAAATTAAATTAAATAAAAAAAAATAATTTTCAACACATAGACTATTAAGAATGTCTGTGGAGGGCTATAAAAGTGTGTTTCAAGTGGTAGAGCGCCTAACAAGTATGAGGCCCTGAGTTCAAACCTGATTACTGCCAAAAAAAAAAAAAAATCTGTAGAATAGTGTAGTATAGTATGTGCAATGTGCTAGGCCTGGGAATACCAGTAGTGTTCACAAAAGATGAATCTCCCCCCCACCCCTCTTTTTCTTTCTCTGTTTTTGGCTGATCCTGGGGCTTGAACTCAGGGCCTGGACACTGTTTCTGAGCTTTTTTTGCTTAAAGCTAGCACTCTACCACTTCAGCCACAGCTCTACCTCCATCTTTTTTGGTGCTTAGTTGGAGATAAGAGTCTCTTGGACTTTACTGCCTGTGCCTGCTTCAAACTGTGATCTTCAGATCTCAGCCTCCTTAGTAGCCATTGGCACCTGGCTAAGGTGAACCTTTATTACAGTTCCAGCAGCATTTAAACAGCTATAGCAATTCAGATTGATGTTAAGCCCTGGTGCTGGGGCTTAAACTCAGGGCTTAGGTGCTGTTCCTGAGCTTTCTTTTCTTTTCTTTTTTTAATTGCTCAAGGCTAGCATTCTACCACTTGCACTACAGTTCCATTTCTAGCTTTTGGTGGATAATTGGAGGGAAGAGTCTCACAGACGTTGCTGCTTGGGCTGGTTTTGAGCTGTGATCCTCAGATCTGATGGCACATTCCGGCCTCTTCCCATCAGCAGTGTATCTCACTCTAAATCCTCTAACTGTAATTTTTAAAAAGGAATGAAAGTACTTGAGAATGTGATGACCAGATCTGGGATGGATTAAATATAAACTATTAGGGCCCTGGAATCCCAAGTGGACCTTGCACTTAAAAGCTTTGGTTTTTGCTAAAGATGTTTTGTGATCCTTGACTGAGGTGGGATTCAGTGGCATACTTCCTTTCTGTGAAACTCAAGTTGAAATCCTTTTACTAGCCTACTTGATTCTGTATCCTTGGACTCATGGCTGCTATAGAAGTCAGCCTAAGCACAACGTGCTCTTGGCAGCCCAAAAGATCTTGTGGCCAAAGTATTGTGGAGTAAGCTGGAATGGCTCCAAGATGGCTGGACTGCTCCTCCTTCAAAATAAAGGCAAACAGATAATCCTTGCTTCTTCCCAAACCTAATCAGAAATACCACATGGATAGGACCATGCCCTTTTGACATCATTTCCTATTTCTGTTCTTCAATATGTTAAGCAGTTGTTAAATCCATTTATTCCTTTTGTGTGTGTGTGTGTGTGTGTGTGTGTGGTTGTGGGGCTTGAACTCAGGGCCTGGGCACTGAGCCGCTTTGTGCTCAAGGCTAGCACTCTACCACTTAGGCCACAGCACCACTTCTGGTTTTTGAGTGGTTAATTGAAGATACGAGTCTCACAGGGACTTTCTGCCTAGGCTGGCTTTGAACCATGATCCTCAGATCTCAGCCTCTTGAGTAGCTAGGATTATAGGCATGAGCCACTGGCACCTGACTAAATCCAGTTATTAACGTAGAAAAATTCACACACTAGAACATAACCTAACAGACAGAAGAAAGGGATCCCCTGGAGGCATCCCTTGAGGATTTCATTTTATCTCCATCTTATTTTCCTAGAAGTCTTTTTTTTTTGGTCGGTCGTGGGGCTTGAACTCTGGGCCTGGGCACTGTCCCTCAACTCTTTAGCTCAAGGCAAGCGCTCTACCACTTGAGCTACAGCGCCACTTCTGGTTTTCTGGTGGTTTATTGGAGATAGGAGTCTCACGGTCTCTCCTGCCCGGGCTGGCTTTGAACCGCGATCCTCAGATCTCAGCCTCCTGAGTAGCTAGGATTACAGGAGTGAGCCACCAGTGCCCGGCTTTTCCTAGAAGTCTTAAGCAGGCTTCTGCTATGTGGAGTCTTTCTCTGACCATTTTTCTAGCCATGTCCCTGCAGTTGACCTGGGGCTGTGGGAAATCACTCAACCACTTGCAACTGAGGCACCAAGTAAGTCCAGAGGCAGTTGGCCACTGGCGCTATCAGGAGGAACAGGATCTCATGCCAGGCCACCAGGCAGCTGGCCTGGGCCCTTTCATGCAGCCTTGCAGAGAAGCGGATTCATGGACAGTGACACCCTCCAGCCTGAGCTCATTGTGGTTACAACTGTGTTTGAGCCAAGGAAGGAGCCCCTTCTAGGTGCACCTGTGCTGGGAATGCTAGCCAGAGCGGCCCAGAGGAGAGGCAGTGGGGAAGCAGAGACGTGTCTCTTGCTGGCTGTGGGATCTCATCTCCTTTTGTCTTGTTTAGGTTTCTCCTCTGCCTCCTACTTAAAGGTCCATGTTAAAACCCACCACGGTGTTCCCCTTCCCCAGGTCTCCAGGCACCAGGAGCCCATCCCGAATGGGGGAGCAGCGTTCCACTGCGCCAGGACCTATGGCAACAAAGGCAAGCGACCCCTTGCTCTGCACTTTGCTTCTCTGCGCAGACTGTGTTGTGGGGGCGCTGGGCCGGGCGTGGGGAGGCAGGAAAGCTGCCAGCTTTCTGGCTGCCTTGAGGAGGCTCAGAGATCTGAGTGCCATGGCCTCTAGGATGAAAGTCACCCTGAGTATCTCATTCCAGAGCAGTGAGCGAGGCTTTAGAGCCCTATGGAGATCTAGCGACCCCTCCCTCCCCCCTGCTCTTCCCCAGTCTTCTTCTTCTCTCCTGGCTGGCTCTCACTCCCCGAAGCCCTGCAGGGACATCCCAGGCCCAGGGCAAGAAGAGGAGGCCTGCATGATGAGTCGTTCTAGGTCTGTCCACTGCCTGTTGGTGCCCTGTAGGATGGTGTGGAGCTGGGGTTGAATGCTTTGTCCTTGGTTGGTTGGCCCTATGAGCGGGTGGGAGCCAGTGGCTGGCTTCTGTGATTGAAGTGGTTGGTTGCTGTAGGTAGCTTGTTCTGTGGAGAGCTACTGGCTGTGTTTATGAGATGCATGACAATACATGAGCTACCTGATGCTCCTGACTCAGAATTGTTTTGTGGAGAGCTCCCAGGCCCACCTTTACATGTTGATTCTGGTTGTTTGGTGGTGTGTCACATTGCTTCCTCCTCGGGACAGGAGGTGGTAGAGATTAGCAGCTGGTGGAGATGGCATGCTCCATGCGCCCATCATAGACCTCCCGTCCTGGCATGACTCTCTGGACCCAGGCAGGAAGCTGCTGTTTGATAGAAGACCCCAGTGTGGGCCAGGCAAGGCAGAGCAGTGAGGGTTGTCTCTTGGCCTAGTTTGTCCTGAGCCCCTGGCTGGGGACACCAGATTGTTTATAGAGTTGCTTTTTAAATCTGTGTGCTTTGGCTGCATGACTCCAGAAGGGTTTTGGTAGGAGGAAGGCAGTAAGACAGGGTTTGTGTTTGGATTGATTTCTGTCTGAGCTGTCAGTGGGGTCTTGCCAGGTAGTGGGCCTCACAGTTCTGGTACTGGCTGTCTTGTGAGAGTTGTAGATAGTCTGGTACTGGAAATGAGACCACTGTATACCTGCTGGGCATCATTAGAGTAATTATACCCCTAGAAGCACCCAAGAGAGCACCTAGGAGGTGGGGATCTTTGAGTTGTGCTGGGCAAAAGCAATAGAGGTCCCCTGTCTGTACCCTTTTCTTGAAGCAGGCTGAAATGATGGTGAGCAATACACGTACACACCTGCATGAAGAGTCCACATCAAGGGAGGCTGATGGCCTCCCATCCATAGACACTCGGGTCTCCCAGACAGACCAGCTGAACCTCCATGGCAGAAGCCATGGCAATGGCTGGCTGTTGGCTGCCCTCCAGAGGCCTGTGAACTGGCCTCTCATGACCCCTCTAGGAGAGGGCATTTCCAAAGCTTGGCCTCATCTCTTTTTTATGTTTTGTTTTTTCCTAGAAGGCCAGAAATGCTCACATCAGGATCCGATTGAGAGCTCCGACTCCTATGGTGACCTTTCTGATGCCAGTGACCTGAAGACACCTGAGAAGCAGAGTGCCAACGGCTCCTTCTCCTGTGACATGGCTGTCCCTAAAAACAAAATGGAGTCTGACGGGGAGAAGAAGTACCCATGCCCTGAATGTGGGAGCTTCTTCCGTTCTAAGTCCTACTTGAACAAACACATTCAGAAGGTGCACGTCCGGGCCCTTGGGGGTCCCCTGGGGGACCTGGGCCCTGCCCTTGGCTCACCTTTCTCTCCCCAGCAGAACATGTCTCTCCTCGAGTCCTTTGGGTTTCAGATTGTTCAGTCGGCCTTTGCATCATCCTTAGTAGATCCTGAGGTGGACCAGCAGCCCATGGGGCCTGAGGGGAAGTGAGGCAGATGCAACGTCCCCACAGGAACAGCCATCCGGGGACTACTGAGAAATGCTGTGAATGCGGAGGGAAGTAATGTTTTGGGGTTCTGTAGCTGAGAGATTTTTATTCATTTTTAACCCCCTCCCCCATCCCTACCCTAACCTTACTCCCACTCAATCACCCATCCCCTCAATGGTCTTTAGAATAGATTCTCATCTGATACTCTGCAGAAATATCTGTGAGACCAGGTATATGAGAGAGAGAGAGAGAGAGAGAGAGAGAGAACAAGGGCAGAAAACACTACATAGGCCTGTAAGTCAGCACCAGCCATTTTCTCTAATGTGAGGAAACTGGAATTCCTGGTGCTCAGTCCTTAGTGATCCCAATCCCAGAGCCAAATCCTACGGCATTCTAGGACCTCAGTGGTTTTGGTCCCTTCCCACTTCTCTTAATTCCTCATTTCCCCTTACCATACCCCTCAAAAGAAACCACAGTAGTGTCTCCTTCACACACATAACCTTGATGCCCAACTGTTTTAAAGGAAGCCAGAAGCCTACAGCATCCAATGGACCATGGGGTACCTGTCCTCTGAGCTTAGCCTAGAGGGCTCTTGGTCTTCCTGAGCCCTGTTGGAGGCTACTGTTTTACTAGCTAGGACAAGCTCAGCTAATGAGGACACTCCCACCCCAAATTCCAGTTCTTACATGATTTTAACCATTCAACTTGCTGTTGGGTTTTAATTCTCTAATTATTATTATTATTATTATATATTTTTTTTTAGGACCAGTTGTAGTGAATTGCTACTGAAAGCTATCCCAGGTGATACAGAGCTCTTTGTAAACCGCAGTCACACATTAGGGTTAGAATTAAACTTCGTTTAGATGTACTATAATTAACTTGGCTAGTTGATTGTTTGAAGTCTATGGAAGAAATAGTTTTATGCAAAAATTTAAAAAATGCTAGTCTGGTCAGGAGGGTAAGAGATTTCAATGCTGTTGGGAGCCAGGAAGGTAGGAGAACCAGCAGGTAGGGGCCTTGTGTACTTTGGTTGTATCACACATGAGCAAGCCCAGATTGACCTTGTGATGTGAATTAGTCTGATCAGACTGTATTAAAAACGCTAGTACCTTACTCTGCCTGTTCCCATGAGTCCAGTTTTTCACTTGTGGGGGGTGGTCTTGGGACCCAGAGATGCTTAGTGCATACCCTGAACTGAAAAGTTAGGGGCAGAATGATGAGTGATCTCCCTTTCTTGTCATTGCGTAAGCTCTACTAAGGTTGATGAGTGATGTTCCTATTGAAGATTGAGCTGCCAGGTTCATTTTGTTCAACATATGCTATCTTCATTGTTTTTGCTAGTCACCGTTTCAGACTTTGTGCCTCACAAGATATCCTCATCAGCTGGGTGCTAGTGACTCATACCTATAATCCTAGCTACTCAGGAGGCTGAGATCTGAGGATCCCGGTTCAAAACCAGCCCGGGCAAGAAAGTCCCAAGACTCTTGCCTGCAATAAACTACTAGAAAACTGGAAGTGGCGCTGTGGCTCAGGTGGTAGAGTGCTAGCCTTGAGCTGAAGAGCGCAGGGACAGTACCCAGGCCCAGAGTTCAAGCCCCACAAATGACAAATAAATAAATAAATAAATCCTCATAAAGCTTAGAAGAAACAGACAATTAACAAGCAGATTTAAATGTGGTAATGAGAAGTACAAAGGAAGCCGAGCACTGGTGACTCACACCTGTAATTCTAATTACTCAGGAGGCTGAGATCTGAGGACCGTCAAAGCCAGCCTGGGCAGGAAAAGTCCACTTTTTTTTGGGAGGGGAGAGCCTGAACTCTGGGCCTGGGCGCTGTCCCTCAGCTCTTCAGCTCAAGGCTAGCACTCTACCACTTGAGCACAGTGCCACTTCCAGCTTTTTTCTTTTTGCTTATGTGGTGCTGAGGAATCGAACCCAGGGCCTCATGCATGCAAGGCAAGCGCTCTACCACTGAGCCACCTTCCCAGCCCCTCCATGAGTCTCTTAACTCCAATAAACCACCAGAAAACTGGAAGTGGCGCTGTGGCTCAAGTGGTAGAGCGCTAGCCTTGAGCTGAAGAGCTCAGGGACAGAGCCCAGGCCCAAAGTTCAAGCCCCACGACCGACAAAAAATAAAAAACAAAACAAAAAAAGAAGTACAAAGGATAAAGTATCTAAGTGAGGAGATAATGAGAGCCAGAGGGTAGGTAGTGTGTGAGGCAGGGATTGGGACTCTAGGAGAAAGTGATGACCTAGTGAGACAAGAATCTGCTAGAATGAGAGGAGAGACGTGGGATGTGTTACCTTTGTGATACTAAGGAGGAGATTACACCCTTAGCGGTGAATGTCTGAATGAAGAAAAGAGAAAGAACATCAGACAAGGCAAGAAATAAGCATAGGGAGAGTCAATGGGAACAGAATCAAGAGCAAGGGGGATAGGCAGACTTCAGTCACTCTGGGCATCTTGAGAAATCTCAGGGAAGAAGAGAATCTCTAAATGAAGAGCAACAGGACTTAATCTCCAAACAAGAAGAAAACAGAACAAACACTGATAAAGGGAGAAAGATAGACTAGTAGGGACAAAGCCCAAAACTATTTAGATCTATATTAATATAACTAAATATACTGCTACTCTGGTTGAAAAGCAAATATTACTGGCTAGATTTAAAATTTTTTTAAATGGGCTGGGAATGTGGTTTAGTGGCAGAGTGTTTGTCTAACATGCATGAAGCCCTGGGTTTGATTCCTCAGTATCACACAGACAGAAAAAGCAGGAAGTAGTGCTGTGGCTCAAGTGGTAGAGTGCTAGTTGAGCAAAAGAAGCTCAGGGACAGTGCCCAGGCCCTGAGTTCAAGCCCAAGGACTGGAAAAAAATGTCAGCCAGGCTCTGGTGGCTCACACCTGTAATCCTAGCTACTCAGGAGGCTGAGATCTGAGGATTGTGGTTCAAAGCCAGCCTGGGCAAGAAAGTCTGAGACTTGCCGGGCGCTGGTGGCTCACGCCTGTAATCCTAGCTACTCAGGAGGCTGAGATCTGAGGATCACGGTTCAAAGCCAGCCCAGGCAGGAAAGACCGTGAGACTCCTATCTCCAATAAACCACCAGAAAACCAGAAGTGGCGCTGTAGCTCAAGTGGTAGAGCGCTCGCCTTGAGCTGAAGAGCTGAGGGACAGCGCCCAGGCCCAGAGTTCAAGCCCCACGACCGACAAAAAAAAAAAGTCTGAGACTCATCTCCAATTAATCCCCAGAAAACTAGAAGTGGTGCTGTGGCTCAAAGTGGTAGAGCACTAGACTTGAGCAAAAAGATCTGAGGGATATGGCCAGGCCCTGAGTTCAAGCCCATGACCAACAAAAACAAAACAACAAAAATCAGCCATGTACATGAAATCTTGGATAAATTACAAGACTTTCTAGACTGCATAAAATAAAAGCTTGGCCATTTGGTGTGAGTTAACAAAGGAAAAATGGACCTAGAATACCTAAGCCTGAAGCCTTGTGGACATGTGGCTTGTTACGGTCACAGAATCTGCCAGCTTGATCACATTAGACTGGTTTTGAGCTAAGGACTTGACTGGGTTGGCCTGAGCACCTTCTGAAGACATTCTTAGTTCATCCCCCTGAAGAACCCCTGATCATATTCATGGATAGGTAGGGATTCTAGTTAAAAAGTATCTGTCACATGGCAGGAAAGAACAACAAAGCCAGCAGGTAGCCCCCTTTTCAAAAGCACTAGATACCTGGAGGTCTGAATAACCTGGTGTATAGAGAGTGAACGGTGAATGCTTTTGCACATGGTCCAAAGTAAAGAATCTTAAGCTTTTATTCCTAAGCTCCATCTGCTCATTGTCAACCCTAGGCAAATCTGAGCCTCAATTTCCTCAAGTAAAACAGAATTGGAAGACTACCACCATGAGCTAATAGACAATAATCCTAGGTACAATCCCCTCCTTGCAGATGAGAAACAGGCTCAGAGACATGGAAGCACCCCTCCCCACACCCCCCCGCCTTACCTCCCCCCCCCCCCAACTCCTCAGTCCTAAGGTAAATGGCAGAGTTGGCCTTGTCCTGACTCTAGAACTTTTTTTGGGGGGGGGAGGGGTAATACGGTATCTAAGGCTTGAACTCAGAGCCTCAGCACTGTCTCTAAGCTTTTGCCCTCAAAGCTAGCAGTCTACCACTCGAGTTTCAGCTGCACTTCTGGCTTTTTTGGTGGTTAATTGGAGATAAGAGTCTCATAGACTTTCCTGCCTAGGGTGACTTTGAACCATGATCCTCAGATCTCAGCCTTCTAAGTAGGATTATAGGTGGGAGCCACTGGCACCTGGCTGACTCCAGAGATTTTATTCCCAAGATCTCAGTGATCCTTTTATGTACACATGAGTACCTAGCATGGTGCTGGGTACCCAGGTTCCTATAACGGAGGCCTGTATAATATATCTGAAAAAAAAAAAAAAAAAGGCACTGAGGGTCATAGGAAAGACTCAATAACCCTGTGTGAGAGAATACACTCTTACACTTGGATTGCGTCTCTGGAGTGAGGTGTACTTAGCCCTAAATATTCCAGGGCCCCGCTGAAGGTAGGAGGCACCTAGCAGAGTCAGGCTAGGACCAATCTCAGGATATACTTCCTGAGATTTTTTTTTTTTTTTTTTTTTTAACAATTCTGACAGTTCTCCAAGCTTCTCTTCATCTGTGAATTGGAGATACAGGAATGCCAGGAAGGGTTACAGTTAAACTTCAGTTTATCAGGTTCCCTATGGGCAAATTTCAGCTCTTATCCTGCCTTTCAGTATTCCTCTTAGCAGTGTTGGGGTCCCCAAGCCAACAACACTCCAGCTTTCCTCTTCTGGATTTCTCAGGCATGAATCTCATGCTTCCTATTTCCCCAAGCACAAATCTCTACTTGTATTTATCTTTTTTTTTTTTTGTCAGTTGTGGGTCTTGAACCCTGGGCCTGGGCACTGTCCCTGAGCTATTCAGCTCAAGGCTAGCACTCTACTACTTGAGCCACAGTGCCACTTCCTGTTTTCTGGTGGTTAATTGGAGATAAGAGTCTCACAGACTTTTTTGCCCAGGCTGGCTTTGAAAGTGATCCTCAGATCTCAGCCTCCTAAGTAGCTAGGATTACAGGTGTGAGCCACTAACGCTCAGCTTTGAGTCTATCTTATCCATCAATCTATCTGGTGAGGGAAAGGGGCTCTCTGTATTGCTTAGACTGGTCTCAAACTATCCTTTGTCTTCCTGTCTCTACTGGGATTATAGGCATACACAATCACACTGGCTAAGTGGTTTTTGTTTGTTTTGTTTCTTAATGTATCTTAAAGCAACCCCCAAGTTGCATCATGTTCCTAATTATGTATTAAAAAAAAACAACAACCCAGTAATATTGGGCACCAGTGGCTCATGCTTGTAATCCTAGCTACTCAAGAGGTTGAGATCTGAGGATCACAGTTTGAAGTCTGCCCTGGCAGGAAAGTCTGTGAGACTTTACTTCTAATCAACTGCCAGAAAGCCAGAAATGGAGCTGTGGCTCAAGTGGTAAGAGTGCTAGCTTTGAGCAAAAAAAAGCTCAGGGACAGTGCCTAGGTCCTGAGTTCAAGCCTGGCACAAACAGAACAAAACTAACTATAAAGACACATTTGTTTACTGAAGAGTGCCAACCATCCTTATCCTTCGAAACATGGCTTAATTCACATTTTACCCAAGGAGTTAGGCACTAGTTTTATAATTAAGCAACTTGTCCCAAACATAATGAGGATCTCAACACAGCTATCCAGGCCCAGGCTCCTTCTTCACTGCTGCCCTGCAGTGGGGACTGTTATGACTTGGCACCAGCTATATAACCAGAGGACCCACTAGCTCCTGTCATTCTTAGAATGAATTCCTAGTCCTTGTGGTCTGGCTCTAATCTACACAATATCTTCCCAGAACATTTTTTCCTTCATATCAGTGTGCTGTTTCCCCGCTCTCCTTACCTGCTTCTGCCCTCTGACCTGTAGCACTTGAATAGTTCTTTCTCCAGGTCATCATTAGTATGCCATGGTTCATGATGGTCTCTTGAGACAGCCACCTGCTGCTTACAGGGCTGCTGGGAAAGAAAGAAGCTGGTAACTGT